ACATTACCTGGCATGCTATGGAGGAGCGTGTCTGAAGGCTTCAGGAAATGTGAACGCTGACATTGATCTATTAAGTGCAAACTGCTCAGCTACCCCTAAAGGTACCCCAAGGAGCAGGAGGGCCTGTGGGAGGCTTCTCTCACCAACCAGCAAGGTCAGGGGGTCTCCTGGATCTGTGAAGGGCCCTGTGGCTGCTGTTCATTGTGGGACGAAGAAAATGTGGCCAGGGAATTGGGTTCCATAATCTTGGTGGCAATAATGGGACCTGTGAGTAGTAGAGACCCGGTGGGCACGAAACTTTCAGAAATAAGGCAGGCACAATTATGATGATAAGCCATAGATAAGCCAATTATAATGATAAGGCAGCACGAAATTCAGAATATTTCAACCCACAGGGAATCTAGAATAATGGCTCATTGCCACATCTCTAGAAATGAGGTCACTAGGACATCTCAATAAGGTGCTTCTTGACATACTTAGACTTCTGCATGGGCCCAGCAAACCCAGCACAAGTTGACATAACAGAATTTGTGGACTTTTACTCAGCTCTGATGTAAGCCAATGTGTAGAACCAGAGCCTTTTATTCTGGGGGAGGTGTCGTAAATCTTCTCTCAAGCTAATTTTAGGGTGACCAGGCTCCAGTTAGCAGAGTGAACTGGGGAAGGCAAAATATCCCAACCTCTTGGGGGTATTAGGTTTAGGATGTGAACTTAATGCCCCATAAATGCAATTTACCCATCTGTGATGAGACGAATTGTGCTTGCCTTCCCCCTGAAATTCATGTGTTGAAGACTTAACCCCCAGTCACTCAGAATGTGACTGTATTCGATTTAATTTTTTTCCTTTCTTTTCTTCTTCTAGCTCTGCATGCAGGGAAGGCAGTGACGGTATTTGGAGACAGGGTCTTTAGAGAGGTAATTAAGGTAAAAGGAGCTCATTAGGGTGGTCCCTAACCCGATATGACCGCATCCTTATGAAAAGAAGGAAACACATGCCCCTGGAGGTCTGCAGGTAAATAACTGTTTGAAGTGTAAAGAAAGTATATGTCACAGTTTAAGGGCAGACTTGGAACTGTCTAAAACAATGTGGCGTCTCACAATCAATGGCATGTGGGTTAGGATGAAATACATTTTTCCCCGCTCTCTGTTCACATAGTTCTCTGCTTTCCCAATTGTCTAAAAATCATCTTGTGCCCATTTTTCTAACTGCCAAGGAAGTAATTTAAGAAGGCTGACAGAATTCCTTCATAGAAAGTACCTTAAAATAACAGCTGGCCAGTAGTGAATCCCACATACATGTCCGCTATTATAATTATTTACCTATGTAAATAGATTTGTCATCTCCTTTGCTTTGGATTGAATGACATCAACTACCTGAGACAAAAAAAAAAAAGTATGGGTCGCAAACCCTAGAACCTGCCTTTTCAGGGCTGTGTGGCCTGGGATAAACGACTTGGCGTCTCTGATCCTCAGATTCCTTCTTTCTAAACCTGCGGACTCTGCTCCCTCCCTTGAGGAAGAAAAGTCCCGCCCCTAATTACTGGCCACGCCCACGACCCCTCGCAGGCTGTGGTGGGCGGGGCTTGTGGGGGGGGGCCAGGCACAAGCCCCGCCCCCAGCTGCCCTCCGTCGGGCGCCGAAAGAGGCTGGGACCTGCAGACGCCATGCACACGGACGCTGAGCCTTCTGGGAGTTGTAGTTTCGGTGACCCAGGCCCTGTCAGTGGCGGAGCAGACTGGCGCGCAGGGCCTTCTGGGAGTTGTAGTTCTTCGGAGCCGCGCATCTTGGGCCTCATTCGGTGCGCAGGCGCGGTTCGCCCGGCCTGGCGCGTGGGCCCGTTCGTGGTGGTGGGTGTCTTGGTCTCCGCACCTCTGAGGGAGGAGGGCGCTGGGGTCTGCGCTGGCTTGGGAGGGCCGGACACTAGAGAGAAGCTGAGACGACTCCACGGGGCTTGGCGGGAGCTGCCCCGGGCCTTTGAAGGTGGCACCGGAAGGCGAGGGCGCCGGTATGTAGTGTGCGCGTGCGCGCCTGTGTCTGCGTGTGCACGTATGTTCGCGACTTCAGCGCTGCCTGCCCGTGCAGCTGTGTGACCGTGCGTGTGAGGGCGTCCCCGCGTGTCACCGTGTCTGCACCTGCTCACTCCAGTGGCTTCCCCGCGTGTCAGCATGGCTGTGCCTGGTCACTCCAGTGGTGTGGCGTGTGCCCACCTGTGGGATTCAGGCTCCGCAGGTGAAGCAGCGAGTGTAACCGCGCACGTGTCTGCATGCGTTGGGGGGTCTCTGCATATCACGGCATGTCACACAGACACGTGTGTCTGACGTTGGGCACATGTGAAACGTCTTCTGGGCATGAGGCGTGTGACCCCACGTGTGGGTCTCTGGGCGTGTTACTGTGTAGGGCGGCTCGGTGTGTGTGCCTGCCAGCACCAACTCGGCGGCCTGGGTGCGCCTCAGTATGTGAAGGGCGGTGTGGTTGTATCACAGGATGTGTTTGTGAGAAGCACCTTGCGGGCACGTGGGGTCAGTGCGTGTGTGCATCTGTGCTTGGGGGAGCCCCTGCACACGTGGCCTTTGGCCATGCTGGAGCTCTGCCCACTGGGTGTGACTGCACGGGTGTCCAGGTGTCCCCGTGGGTGGTGTCCCGGCACATGGCCTGCCTGTGTGGAGCAGGGTGGCATGCGTGACCTTGTCCCTGTGTGTGCATGTGTGTGTGTGTGGCTGCAGGTGCACGGCTTCCTGCCTGCGTCTTGAGTGTGTGTCCCTGCATGTTCTTGTGTGTTTGTGATGTGACTACCCCCTCCCCGGACTATGATTGCATGTGACTCCGTGTGTGTCAGAGTGTGACGTGTTGCATGTGTCTGCCTGTGATATTGTGATAGAATCAGAAATACATATTTTTAAAAGCCCATGGGTCAGAAGTGCTGGGAGTAGAGAAAGGTTTCTCCTACTGCCCCAGGCCTGCCCGCCTCTGTCCTTGGGCTCCTGTGTGCATGCGTGACCTCTCCCCCGAACACACCCCAGTTTACCCAACCCAGCCCAGAATCCACTTCCCTGCCCGCACGTGCACAGGGGAGAAAACACCCCGCATCTTCACTACCCCCACAGACTCCCCCCAATGCCTGCGTCTGCCCCAGTGCCTTCCTTCACGGGTCCCCTTTCTTGCTCCCACAGATGCTGACTGGACCCACTGAGCCATGGCAGCCAGAGCAGGGGCCCCAGCCTGAGTGACATAGATCCTGAGACCACGAGGCAGGTACCCCCACTAGCTCTGGGGACCCGACAGGGGCTTTAAGGCTGTCTGTAGGGGCGGCATCCTAGCTGGCCCACCTGTACTTATCTTTATGAACCTTTGCCACATTTATAATCCCTAAAAAACACATGGTTTTGATTTGCCTGTTTTTAAGCCTAAATATAATAGTACCATACCTGAGAGATTATTTCGTATCTTGCCCTTCTTGCCAACACTGTTTGAAGTGTTCATATTTACCCCGTTTATTCGTCCGTTCCCTTGCTGATGGATGGCAGGATCGTCTCTAGCCCTTGGCCGTCACCAGCCATCTCGGAACCCTCCAGGTGTACACCTGTGCACGTTTCTCTGGCTTACTTTCAAGGCGATGTGATTACTGGGCAGTAGAGGATGTGTGTCTTCAGCTTTCCTAGAAAATACCAAACAGTTTTTTAAGCCAGTTTTCCCAATGTGTACTCCCACCAGCAATACATTTTGCATGGAATTTAGAGTTTACTTTTTCCTCTGTGTATGGAGTGAACTGATTTTTCCCCAGAAAAGAAAACTATTTCCAGGTATCTTAGCTCTAGCTGCTCTAAGAAAATACCACAGACTGGGTGACTTAAACAACAGACATTTGTTTCTTTGCAGTTCTGGAGGCTGGTCTGACATCAGGCTGCCAGCATGGTTGGGTGCCGAGTCCAGCTCAGCACCGGGAACCCCAAACCAAGCGGCTCCGCAGAGATGGAGACAAAGTAGCCAATTATCAGGACAGATGGGCGTGGGGGACTCGATGCTCTAAGAGCAAAGAGCCCCGTCCTTGGTGCGCACATTGCTTTTATTCGTACAACTCAAGAGGGAACTCAAGGGTAGGAAACAGATGGCCGTTGACTCCCTAATCCCTATATTTTGAGAATGTTCTGTTCAAAGAACATGCCCAGACCTCCTACATGACTGCAGTCACTGGAGACGTGGCTGTTTACTTCAGCTTCTTGGGCTGCTGACCAGACAGCTTTCCCCCAGGTCGGACTCAGCTTCCCTTCGCCCACACCCGTTCAGCATCAAGGAACAGCCGGCTCACAGCTCCGGCTCCTACAGTCGCATGCGGGTGAGGACTCTTGTCCTGGCTTGTAGACGGCCGCCTTTTGCTTGTGCTCACTTGGCAGAGACAGTGAGCTCTGTTGTCTCTTCCTCTTACAAAAACACTAATCCCATCATGGGGGCCCACCCTCATGACCTCATCTAACCCTAGTCACCTCCCAGAGGCCCCAGCTCCAAATAGCATCACCTTGGGGGTGAGGGCTTCAACATAGGTTTGAGGGGACACGATTCAGCCCATAGCGCTAGATTACAAGGGTACATTCAAGTTCTGACAGATTCATGTTTTTTCCAGGGATCTTCTAAATTTGTTTTCAGTTCCATTAAATCAACGATTCCCAACCAGGAGCAGTTTTGTCCCCAGGGGACAGTTGGCAATGTCTGGAAGCATTTTGATTGTCACAACTGGGGGTGGGTGCTCCTGGCATCCAGTGTGAGGAGACCAGGGACACTGCTCAGCATCCTGCAACACACAGGGAGGCCCAACGACAAAAAATGATCAGACCCAAATGTCAGTGGTTCTGCGGTCCAGGGTCCCCGCACTAAGTCCTTCCCCGTCCAAATGTCAACCTTTTTTCCAGCCCAGGGCAAGTAACAATGTTGACTTCTTTTTTCTTTCTTTTCTTTTAGACCCAGAGAAGAGATGTGAGTTTAAGACAGCAGCTGAGGGAGCAGGGATGGAGGGGCTTTTGAGCCTCACCCTCCAGGGCTCAGAGTTGGAAAGAACCTGGAAACACGAGGATGAGTTCACAGACCCTCAGGAAAACCAGGAAAGCTGTCCGGAGCCAGAGGCAGCGGCCCACAAGGGAGACCCTGCAGGGGACGGCGTCCAGGAACGCAGTGAACTCAACCAGATCCCAAGAACCACATCGAGTCCTGCTGCTGCCCGAGCCACGGTCCCCGGTGACAGCAGGCCCCAGAGGTGCGGTGTGCCACCCAAGAACCCGAAGCAGAAGCATTCAGACGCTGGCCGGGGGGAGAAAGGTGGCAGCCCCAAGAAGCCGTGGAAATGCGAGGACTGCGGGAAGGCCTTCAGCTACTGCTCGGCGTTCATCTTGCACCAAAGAATCCACACCGGGGAGAAGCCGTTCGCGTGCCCCGAGTGCGGCAAGGCCTTCAGCCAGAGCGCGCACCTGGCCCTGCACCGGCGCACGCACACGGGGGAGCGGCCCTACGCGTGCCCCG